AAGACTCAAAAACACAAAAAATCAAAAGGAAAAAAGTAAGAAAATGCAAACCTAGGTGGGGTTGCCTCCCCACAAGTACTTCTTTACCGTCTTTTAGCTGGACTCCAGTCGGTGGATGCTCAGAGAGGTGTAGGAGCGGGAGCCTTCAAGAGCGGATCCACATCGCTCTTGAGGTACAGCTTTAGATGGTGGCCATGCTCGACTTGACCATCTGGCAAGATGCAAGCGAGTGAATACTCGGATGGCCAAGGTGGGGGCGGAACCAGCTCATAGTGGTCTCTGGCTTTCTTTCGAGCAGTCTTAGCTGCCTGCAGTTTCGGCCGCCACTCCTCCTTGATCTGTTCTTTCGGTGATGGAGTTGACGGGAGTGGCGGCGAAGGTATGGGAGGCGGATCCTGCAAAATGGGAAGCACAGAAGGGTACACGACAGACTCGTGCTCCTGGTGAGAAACAGCATGCACAAGTGACGAAGCAGGGAGAGTATTAACAATTGAAAACGTTATTCTCTCCTCGCCATCCCTCAAACCTAAGGTCCCATCATGCACATCTATGAGAGCCTTGGCAGTGGCTAGGAAAGGCCTTCCCAGTATAAGGGGCACTTCTGTGTCCTCATTGATGTCCAAGACAACAAAATCCACAGGATAAATGAATTTGCCAACCTCAACCAGAAGGTCTTCCACTATGCCCCTAGGATGTACTATAGATCGGTTAGCTAATTGAAGACTCATCCTAGTTGCACGGGGTTCACCTAGGCCTAGTTTCCTGAACAATTGATATGGCATGACATTGATACTAGCACCTAGATCCGCCAAGGACCTCTCTACATGTAACTTACCTATAGAGCACGGGATAGTAAAACTATCTGGGTCCTTCTGCTTTGGCGAAAGCTTGTTCTGTAGAATGGCCGAGCACTCCTAGCTGAGCTCCACAGTGGCCAGCTCGCTCAGCTTCTTCTTCTTTGAGAGAAGATCTTTCAGGAACTTCGCATACTTAGGCATTTGAGATAGTGCATCCAAGAAAGGTACTTGGACATTCAGCTTCCTAAGCATGGACATGAAGTTCCCGAACTCTGCCTCTAGCCTGTCTTTTTGAAACCGAGTAGGGAAGGGGAGTTGAGGGATATACTCCTTCACTACTGGTTGCGGTTTAGGTGCAGACACCTCAACCTCCTGCTCCGCTCCTTCTTCAGCCGCTGGAGATGCTAGGGCAGGGGCCTCTCTCTCTCTTGTGCCCGAACAGGTGGATCAATAGTCATCTTGCCACTCCTGGTTGTGATGGCATTGCAGTGCTCATTCGGGTCCTTCGGATTAGGAATGGTATGACCTGGCAAGGTACCTGGAGCCCTTTGCACCACTGCTTTAGCCACGCTCCCCAGTTGGGTTTGGATATCCTGCAAGACAGCCTGTGTGTTCCTCTGGCCAGCTTCAAGAGCCAGGAATTTACCCGAGGCCTTTTCCATGAACTGCTCGATAGTGTTGAATTTCTGAGCAATAGAACTAGCGAGAGAGCCCACCAAGTCCCGCAGTTCAGCCAGCGGATCATTCTGCACTGGAGTGGCAGGGGTTCCACTTGGCTGCTGGAAAGATCGCGGCTATGATTGAGCAACCTGCCCCTGCATGGGCTGGTAGAGAGACTGCTACTGCTGCTGCTGCTGCTGGAATTGCCCCTGTCTGGGCTGATATGGCGGCCTCTAGAAGCCAGATGACCCCTGGGGGACTGGTGGTGGAATTTGCCCCACCCCAGAAGAAGTTGGGATGCTGGCGCCACCCTCGTTGTAAGTGTTGCTGTAGGGGTCATTTCGCCTAACATTATTGATGAAGTTCACCTGCTCTTGGGGTTTGGTCGATTCCTTCATCGCCTAGCAGTCTTCCACCGTGTGATGGGTGCTCTCACACCACTGGCAGAGCATCGCCTGCTGCTGTCCGGTCCCTGGAATCATTCCAGAGCGATCGATGGCTGACACCAGCTTCGACACCACCCGCACCAAATCAGATGACTGGGTGGCTACAGAATGCACACCCCGCCCTGGTGCTCGTCTCGATCTCTTTGCAGTTCCCCAATCATACCCGTTCTCTACCATCTCCTCAAAGAGTTGATTCAGTTGTGGCGGTGTTTTAGTCAGCATGTTCCCGCCACAAACCGAGTCAATCAGCTGCTTGTCTTCTGGGAAGAGGGCGTGATAGAAGGTGCCCACCTTGAAAGCATCGTTGAAACCATGATTGGGACACCTTAGGAAGAGACTGTTGTATCGCTCCCATGCTTCCCGGATGGTCTCATCTTCATCCTGGATAAAATGGGTAATTTGCTTCTGCAGGTCCGCCGTCTTGGATAGAGGATGGTAGCGGGTGAGGAACTTGTCCGCCAGGTTGGCGAACGTGGTGATAGAGCCTGGAGGTCGAGTGTCTAGCCACTCCTTGGCCTGCCCCTCCAGGGTGAATGGGAAGTACCTTAGCTAGTGTGGCATCTGCTGGGACCCCATTAATCTTGATTCCATCGATGAGCTCGTGGAATCTCCTCAGATGTGATCGAGGGCACTCCCCCTCTTTGCCTCGGAACACCACTGAACCGCGCAGCATGGTGATGACGGAGGTTCTCACCTCAAAATTATTGACTGGAACATGAGGGTGTTGAATGGGCGACCTCATGTCCGCGGCCCTGGCGGTCTAGTAATATCCCATGGTCTGCTCCTCGGGGAGGACCACAACATGGTCCTGTGGATCCCCCATCTCTTCTTCTTCAGCGATCTGTAGCTGTGCTAGCTCTTCCTCCGCAGCCAGTCGCGCCTTTAGAGCCCGCTTGAAGTTCCTGCAGGTTCGTTCAAGCTCCTGGTCTAATGGTAGTAGATCTCCCGACTGGCTACGGGTCACGCACTACCTGCACACAATCAGCAGAAGCAACCCGTGAAGGCACACAGGTGGAAGAGATAAAATGCAGTAAAGAAAAAGTTAGAGTAACAAATTTTCACGTTTCCCCAATAACCTAGAGGTCCCCGGCAACGGCGCCAAAAACTTGACACGCTAAAACACTACACCTAACAATGGCCAAGTGTAACCAATGAAAGGGACTGCAATATAGTGGCACAAGTAATAAATATCGAATCCACGGGTCTCTAGAGTTACTATTACTTAGCTTCAGTTCATTATCTAGCAAACTAGATTAAGGATTGATTTATAAACTACTCTACTGACTACTCTACTAATTACAAGTTGGGAACACACTTAGGTATGATTCCCCCTAGTTCCTCAATTAGGTCCAAGTTGCAATTACCTTTGGTTGATCTACTGTTGATTGAACTGCGAAAGATCCTAAATTAGCTTGGAATCTCTTAAGCTGACCAAGCCCTCTCAGTCAGAATACCCGGCAGGCGACTAGCCTTCACCAGGATAGACTGCTAAGGCGATTCACACAGATCTCCTCTACTGGAATGAATTCTAGTACAAAGCAGTAAATTGATTGACTCTCGCACAACCAATTCACCACTATCAATCAAGGAAGCTCTCTTAACCTAATCAGATTCTATCTATCATAGGTTAAAGCAGAAATCATGAGAATTTGATCAAGATTCAATTGACTCAATAAATCATGCCTCAATCGATTATAATCAAACAATATAGCATCCAAAACTTCATACAAGAAAGATCCTAACACATGGAACTAGGGTTCCTCAAAACCTAACTGAAGGGAAGTTACTCCATAGAGAAGAGAGAGACTGCAGAAATCTGATCTAGATCTTCAATCTCCATCTCCAAGCTTGATTCCCGAGCTCTAATGGCGAAGAAATCCTCCAAAATAGCTCCAAGAATGTTCCCAAGTCGCTCTCTCTCTAGGGTTCGTCCCTTGGGCGTTTGGGAACCAAAAACCCAGCTCTCCCTCTCCTTTGGCTCGAATTTGGCTTAAAACCCAGAATTTCCCGACTCACACGGCCAGGCCACACGGCTGTGGCTTACCCAGCTGCCCGTGTGAGTGCCAAAACGCGGAGTTTCGATTAATGGGAAACCAGGCAAGCAACACGGGCAGGGGCCACACGACCGTGTGGCTCCCCAGGATGCCCGTCTGAGTGCTCGGTAAATCCCACCCGACCACTTGGCCAGGTCACACGGCCGTGTGGGTTTTTAGGTGTGCCCGTGTGGCTTGCTCAGCCTCTGTTTAATGCTTCGTTTCTCCCTTGTCCGGACTCCGAATCAGTCGCCGTTTGATCTCAGACGCTCGTAGTCTCGTCCTCTTTCTTTTCATGACAAAATTCTATGATTATTTGTCCATAATATGAGGTAGAAGTCCATTATTCCTCAGGTCATGCTTGTGTTTCTTCTCCCGAACTGCCAAATGATCTCCGATTGACTTGATACTTGCGCCTATGCTTCAATTCACATGCTAGGACCTGAAATGTGACAAAGGAACACAACCTAGCGTAAAATAGTCCAAGAAAGGAGAAAGTCAAGCCAAAATGATCAAGAAACGAGGGTGCAAACATGTGCAAATCCGATGTTATCACTCAGCTTATATAGCTGGGCAGTTCACTTATAGACATATTGGAAGAAGAAGACAAAGCTTGGGTCCTAAGCAAGTACAACTCAGAAATTGAAAGAAAATACAAATAACAAGTTTAGGGAGCTGTGGGTAATTTGCCAGAAACGACATCACTCCAGCTTCTCGGTTGTGGTCTCGGCGAAACGATGTCGTCCGGTTTAGTGGGAGTGTGTCTTGTCACAACGGTAACGTTTGGTTCAGTCGTACCGGGTCTTGGCACAACGACAGCGTTTGATGGAACGGTCGTCTTCTCCAATTGCTCTGGATTCAAATTTGGGGAAAAACTGATTGTTTTCCCTGATACGAGTCAAAACTGGACTGTGTCCAATTCCTTTTTGGTTCTCATATTTCTAAAAAGACTGGACCGAGATCGGCTCAATTCGAATCAGTTTAACCGGATCGCACCTATAGCCAGTCCTAGGTTCAACCATGAGGTATCAACCGGTTTGACAACCATGGTTAAAACTACGCATCGATGGAGAAGTTGACCAGAAACGACATCGTTGTCATATGAAATCCAGTCGCAAGCCCGATCTGCCACCTGCGATCAAGAGGAGAGGCCGAGAGGGGGAGGAGAGGCCGAACTTTGGCGAATGATTTTTAGTCTGAAAATGAGAGATGAAGGAGGTAAAGTACTGAAGATTGTGACGTACAACGTCAATGGGTTGAGGCAACGGATCTCCCAATTCAGTTCTCTTCTCAAATTGCTGGATTCTTTCGATGCCGACATCATCTGTTTTCAGGTGAATTCACTCTACTTTTGACGGAGAATTGTACTGTTTGATGGCGATGATTTGTACGCTGGGTTTCTTACTTCGATTGGTAAGGCAACAGGAAACAAAGCTGAGAAGGGAAGAGCTGACCTCTGATGTAGTGATGGCTGATGGGTACGAATCCTTTTTCTCTTGCACGCGTACTAGGGATAAAGGGCGGACTGGGTACTCCGGTAAGGTTTTTGTTGTATTGCCGCAGTAACCTTCATGCTATTTTTTTTTTTCTTGGCTTGCCTATTTTCTGTTTTGAGTAAGCCGACCAATGGGGTTCAAGCCTTTCTATTATGTGTAAGGTGTGGCGACCTTTTGTCGATGTAAGTCGGCATTTTCAAGTACGGAAGTGGTATTGCCCATCGCTGCAGAGGAAGGTTTCTCTGGTCTGGTTGATCGATCTAGACTTGGGAAAGATGCTGGGCTAATATTGGTCGAGGGACTTAAGGAGTTTGACAAGGATGAGCTTATTAAGCTTGATAGCGAGGGCAGGTGTATTATCACCGATCATGGTCATTTTGGTATGTTGCTATTGATGCAATGCGTTTCTCTTTTTATTCTACTTCTGTGTTGTCGACGTTTCTAGCTCTCCACTGGAGAAATTTTGTGATGGAGTTCAACTAATGTTGGGCAGTTGGCAGTTCTTTTCAACATATATGGACCTCGAGCTGAATGCGATGACACAGAGAGGATTAGATTTAAGTTCAATTTTTATATCACACTGCAGGTGCATGTCTTACCGTCCTAGTATTTCTTCCTTTTCTGTAGTTATCAAGCTAACATACATTTTTCTTCTATTATACTTCTTCAATGTTACTGCTACATGAGAGTTCAGGACCCAGTGTATAGTGCTAGTTAGGTATCACTGATATTTTTGTTAATCTTCGGTGTAGAAAAGATGGGAGAATCTCCTAGATCAAGGAAGGAGGGTTTTTGTTGTTGGTGATTTCAACATTGCTCCTTCTGCTATAGATAGATGTGAAGCGAGTGCAGATTTTGAGAAGAATGAGTAAGCTGCCAACTGCTTAATATGCAGATGATCGTCTATTACAGTTTCTAGTCCCTATATCAATCAAAGCAAGCAGTGAACTTAATCCTTTGCTTTTATTTTTACAGGTTCAGGATGTGGTTTAGATCTTTGCTATTGCAATCAGGTGGCCGCTTTTCTGATGTTTTTAGAGATAAGCATTCTAACAGGTTTGATGTATGCTTTCAGTACGATTTACTAACCCATTTAATTTCAAATATACTTTACTTTAAAATCAATTGGTTTCTTGCAAACTATTAAACAGAGAAGATGCATACACATGTTGGCCATCCAGTACAGGGGCTGAACAATTTAATTACGGCAGTAGAATTGACCATATTCTGTGTGCTGGATCATGTTTACACGAAGCGGTTGAAGATCAACAAGGCCAGGCCCACAACTTCATCAGTTGCCATGTCCAAGAGTGTGACATATTGACAGAGTACAAACGTTGGAAACCTGGAAACACAGCCAGGTAGTAACAGTTGGATTTGAGTTTTCTATTTTCAGGCTAATTTGCAGATCCGATTCTTACCTTGTGCTTTCCACCGGCAATATAGGTACAGGTGGAAAGGAGGGTTGGACATTAAACTTGTAGGTTCAGATCATGCTCCTGTTTATGCGACTATACTTGACATCCCTGACATCTACCAACATAGTACACCGTCACTATCATCAAGATATCTTCCAATGATTCGAGGTCTCCAACAGACACTTGGTATGAGCAAACCTTTCATTATTTACCCAAGCAGTATTCTATAGCTCTATACAGCGTTTCTTGTGTTTGGCCACTCACTTACAATGCCATGGTTCCTTGACCTTGCAGTGTCTGTGTTAACTAAACGAGAATCTTCGACCCAGTCTCAGTCTTGCAATATATATAGTTCGTCTTCAGATGGCAAAGCAAGAGTAGTAGAGGGGTGCTCCCAGGATGAAGAGAATGAGAAGAAGTCGAGAAAGGAGAAGAAATCAAGAAAGGGCCTCGGAGTACAGCTTTCATTGAGGTCATTTTTCCAGACAAGCTCAAAGCTTGTCAATGTTTCTGGAAGCTCCTCTACTGATGTTGATCTAGATCAGAATCAATCGAGTCAAACTCCATCAAATAATCAGCATGGAAGTCCAAACCCTGATGAGTTGAAGCTTAGTGCTCGGACTCATGATCGAGAAGATGGTAAAAGTAGTAATGCCCTGCTGGAGTGGCAAAGAATACAACAACACATGCAGAACAGCATTCCTCTCTGCAAGGGCCATAAGGAACCATGCGTTGCTCGGATTGTGAAGAAATCCGGCCCTACTTTCGGACACAGATTTTATGTCTGTGCTCGAGGAGAGGTACCTTCAGGACACTCTCTTTGCCTGAAATTGGAGCTTGCTATCAACTTGTGTATTGATGAATGCATACGAAGTTTTTGAATTAATATATTTTGACAGGGACCTTCAGCAAACCCAGAAGCAAACTGTGGTTACTTCAAGTGGGCTTCCTCAAAATCCCGACAGAAGTGAAGATGTAGTTACATGGTCTAGCTCTTTCTTGTCCCGAGTACTTTTTTATATATAATAATCCTGTTACAAGGTGCTACTAGAGGGGAAGGGGAGTTGGCATCACGATGAATCGAAGTATCGAACAATGACCTTACAATGGAAGTGTGCCGACTCATGTGTGCCGAAATCACCAGTTAGGTTGGCTCTCGTTCGCCTCTTGTCCCAAGTACTGACTAACAAATTCTCCTATACTTTGTGTAAATATAAATAGAACTTTCCAGCTTGGCTACCATTTTATTTTGAAAAATGACATTTAAAGACGTATTCACTTTGATATAGTTTGGAACAAAAAATTTGAGACCTAGGGCTATAGTTATAATATGCATATTTACTATCTACGTTAATCAAACATGTCCCTCTACCATTTTTTCGTCAAACCTAGTACTTTAACATAAAACATGTTTGATAAAAAAAATTACGTTAATAAAACATTATCGAACATGTTTTGGCAAACTTTTGTATGAAAATTTTCACATAAAGACATGTTTCATAATTTTTTTAAAGTACATTGGTCAATAGGTTTGACGTAATAAATAGTTGAGAGAAATGTTTGATGAAAGTGCAATAAATAGTTGAGAGAAATGTTTGATGAAAGTGCATAATAATTTACCTATAATCTAGACACATGTTAACAGTTTATACCACGGTGATAATGTTTGATAGTATATAAGATTATGTCATGGTTATACAGGTATATCATAATATTGTAAAATGGTTATATACATAATAGTAGAAATATACGTACAACCAGTTACCACCCAATAATATAGTAATATATTTGGTCTTGATTATTTTCCCATTAAATCTCTATATCACAATGACCATACGATGAGCACTTCGTCTTGTGCACTTTTTATTTAATTTTGAGTTAAAAATGATAATGGTACAAGGGTGGTAACGAGTGGTATGAAATTCTCGAAATATATGCAAATAGATCACATTTTGTAGATCATATTTAACTCGTGTCATTTGTCCAAAAATATTCTAAATCCAGAGGAGATATAAGTTGATTAGAAAAGGTGGAAGAAATAAAAAGTATTTTAATTCAACCCTTAGATCTAACCCTACTCAAAATTAAGTAACAGATTTAGTTATGCATAAATTTATAACTAAACGTTATGCACCCAGCACCTATCTTAGACAGGTGTAGCTACCAAATTTATTAGGTTTATGGTCGATGGCTACAACAACAAGCAAATTAATGATTTGCTTTTCTTTTCGCGTTTTGCTTATTTTTATTTGCATTTTCTCATGTTTCTCTATTTGGTAGTCTGGCTATGTTTCTCTATTTGGTAGTCTACAGTCAGAGTCAAGGCTCAAACATACGATGTGTTATATCGACGGCTAGGGCGCCATTTCTGTCAAAATTTGGAGGCCCTGATCCCATTTTGCAGAAGCTCGTCACTTTGCAGTTTTCTGTAAGATAGCTTTTGTTATGGATTGACAATTTTGACCAAATTCATGAGTATTTTACTATCAAATTCAATTAGGTTGGGTATCATATCCAAATAAATGATAAATGGATAGAGTTTAATGGATTTATACCCATATTCATTTATTTGGGTTGGGTTTTTAATCAATGAATTTGGGTTTATACCATACTCATTTGTAAATTACTGTTTGGTACCTAAACTTAATTGATATTTAGGTCTAGTACGTAAATTTAATTTTTTGCATATAAGTCCTCAAAGTATTGATGGAAATATAATTTAGTACCTATATTTTTTGTGTATTGCACTTACTAAGCTTTTTAAGTTTTCACTAATAGATCCAATTTTTTTATGTGTAGCTAAAAACAACCTCAAGTAAATGGGCATCCAAACCCAACCCATGTCTATTTAGAGTATGGAAGCAATATCTATATCCTAATTAAATTCACCCCAAACCCATATATACTTCACCCATATCCTACCCATAATCAATGGCTTGCTTGGGTTTGGGTAATCCATGGGTGGGCAATTGTCATTCCCTAGCTTCTATACACAAACCCCTTAACATGTCACTCGGGGTATCCAAGACTTTGGACGGCCTTCAATAACATTTTTATTGCCCACATATGAGAAGAGACATGGAGAAGGTATGTGCAAAGTATCATAAGTGTCGCCAAGCCAAATCAAAAGTTCACCCCAATAAAATTCTTTAAAGTAGAGAGACTCATTGGAAGAGTTTCGAGACTTGGTCTTCAAAGTTGTTTTTATAAAATATTTGATGTATTATTCAGGAATGATTGAGTGTTGCTAGGCATAACTCATTATTTTGCCAATTTGACCTAGGTGGAGAGAACCACCTTGTTGTAAGAGGCTTTGAAAATCTGGATTATTGGCCAATTTGTGTCCATGCTTAGGCAAATGACGGAAACCTCAAATATCGGATTAGTGCCATAATTCCATCATGATTGTTCGCTATTCGCTGTCCGGATTAAGTTCTGAGGGATTGGTTTTTGCAATCCTTGGTTGATTGGCTAAGAGGGCTAGATTTCCTAGCTTATAGTTGCAATCCTTAGTCGAATGGCTAAGAGAGTTAGGCCACCCAGCTTATTGTTTATATCCTTAACCGGTTGACTAAGAGAATTAGGGCTTCGTAACTAGTTGCACCTGCCTCACGGTTTATAAACACATCCTTCATGGTTTCTTAATACGAGACTAGGGAGAGCAATACCAGGGTGAGGTCCTATCATATATAAATCTCCTCGATTTACTTTACTTGTTGGTTTATTTTGTAGTTTTCTTAGTTTTAAATAACCAAAAACCATTTCTGCTAGATAACAACCTAAACTATTGAAGTAGGGGTACATGAACCGGCCCAGGTTTGACAATTAAAACATACTTGTCCTATACTGCACCCGGCTAGACTTTATACTTGGGTTCTAGTCAGGATTTAATTCGCGGTGTAGTCTGTGCGAGTCAATTGCTTTATTTGGTTAACCCACAACCCAATCACACTCATCTTCCACCCACCCAACCCAACCCAAAAAATAATGCGGATGGATAGCGTGTCACAGTTATTATAACTCACTAATAAGTGGATGAATCAATTTGAGACCAAAATCCACTCAACCCATTACCCACCCCTACCCATAGTGAAGCATTAGCCAATTATCTAGTAAAATAAAATTATACAGTATCATTTATAGTGGAAACACAGGTTCTGTTCTGAAATCTTCCTTCTCTTTATCGTTCATGATTTTTGTTCCTTTTTTCTTATGGGTTCGAACATGATCAAGGTTTAATTTTACTACTTCCCAGCTGAGATTTAGCACAAGACACTAGGAGATGAATGAATATTGCTTTCGTTCAGTAAACGCATAGATTAGCGGCAAAAATTGTATCTCGATAGAGATAGGGATTGCAACATGAGGCAGGTAAGCCTTGAGGAGATGTTGTCGCCGAACTCACTTGCATAACGAAGTTTTATGTGATTCGGGATTTTTACCCCATTAATTTGTTTTGATTCGTTCTTTTTGGCTTTATTGGCAGTATCTCACTCTTAGTTTCTCCTTTTCTTAGTTTTCCCGATCCACGACGTCAAGTTCTCGAACCTCCCAAAGTTGTAATAAAGGATTCATTTGAGGACCCTAATCTACAGGTTTCGTTTGGTGTTGCTATCTTTGGGTTCATTTTTGGTGGATTGTTGTTTCGTTAACTGTGAGTCTTCTATGAACTCCAAAGAGGTTTACATCCCACTCTCTATTTGCATTGGGGAAAAAATATAGCTTGAAAAATGGAAATTGTAGGAGTACTGAACAATTAGACAACATATATGTTATTTGATCCTCATGTTTAATATGGAACTGATCAATGCATAATTTAGTGCATCAATTCTCATCATGTGCTTCCATGGGTTAGTGTATGCTTAGGGATGAGTAGAATAAACTCTACCAACGGCTCTTCAGCGACACCCACAATACCCCAACGTACCCACAAAGCCTTTCCTAGATACTTCCATGGACCTATGTGTTGGTTTGGCCAAGTCAGGCCTCTCTAACCAATGCATTTTCAATAGTCTCCATAATAGTACAAAACCTAGCCTACCAGTTGTTTCATTCGAATCCAGCCAAAGATATGAGGGAGTCTCTAATGCATTACGAATTCGATGGCCCGTCTCTATTTTTCCTTTATTAGTTTTATCAGTATTTATCAGGATCTTCTTTTGGTTATTGTTTCAATTTAGGATATTTTATCATTTCGTAATTGGTTTAGGATTTGTTTCCTTGTTCGAGAAGGGAAGTGTTTGTAGGCTTAGCTTATAAATATGTACTAGGCTTTACATTTTATGGGGCAGAATAAGAACAACCCAGTTTTTCGTTAGCTTCTCTCTCTCTCTCTTTCTCTTTCTCGTTTTAAACACGACGCGTGAGGCTGTCACGTGTCAATTGCTATCAGAGCCTAGTTTCGACAGAACCCAGGAGCCAGGAAACGATGACTCTGAAAAAGAACACGCCTTCCTCGACCATGGAAGCTGGTAGGGGCGGGCAGCAGTTCCGGGATGCTATGGATCGTGTAGCCGACCTCGACCAGCAGCTGCGTGCTGCCGGGGAAGATCGCAGTCAACTCCACGTTGATGTCGACCGCATCAAGGATGGGCAGTCCTTGCTTCAAGACGAGGTCCGCCAGGTGCGTAAGGAGCTATAAAAGAGACTCGAGCAGGTGACTGAGACGTTACGTGGAGAGATGAGGCGCAAGTCAGAGAGTAACGGGGCTGCGTTTCGCCAGGAATTCAAGGATTTCATGAAGACGATGGAGGCTCTCGTCACTGGAGGCCCCAATCGAGAGAAGGATGGGGAGAGGCGCACCACTGAAAAGATTGCGGTTGAGGAAAAGCTCAAGGAGGTTGATTCGATGCACGCGAGTCCCAAAGGAACCGACCGTGCAATCCTTCCAACGCCCACAACGAAAGGATCATCGATAGGGAAGGAGGGTCGCGATGGAGCTATCCCTCTCATAGGTATCGCGTGGGGAAGTCTGGCCCCCAACAACGAAAATAGCGGGGCGACAAAGTCGGGTGTGAAATTTGACTAGAGGGACGTGGAGCCAGGGGCAGAGGTTGGCAATAAGAGGACGAAGGCGCTGCGGGGTCAAATGGAGATTGGTCGGGAGCAGGGCTGCATAAGGAGGAAGAAGGCTTTCGGGCTAGTGAGGAGCTGATCGGCAGGTCAGATCGACCCGTAAGTTGGATGGACCTCATGGGCGATGATCGAGTCGAGTCCTAGCATTGGCCAAG